TCCAGAATTGGGATTCCACAGATGTGCTAAGATGTCTGACTTATTAAATTGGAACTTTAAGGATAGTTTTGCCTTGGACTCTGATTTAATTCTGTATGATACGTGGAACGCTGACAATGGGTGACCCATGTGTTGTTCACTTTGGGCACCCATCCTTTACTTCCACAACCAATTAATGGATCAATTAATCACTTAACTGCCATAACCAAAATTCTTTTCCAGCAGTTTATCATGCAAGTAAAATATCTGTATTTAATAAAGTCAAGAAATTAATAAAATATAATTTATATTTATAGATATTTTCCTTATCCAGATTGGGGAAAATAATATAATTTATATAGCTGATTTAGTTTTGATCAAAGCATTGTCACTTTATATTCAGACAATGAATGAAACTCATGTAAGCATCAGATGTCTAACAACAAATCCTTGTAGTATGTTTCCTTTAGACCATGTGGTATTTATCTTATAGTTTGGATATAATATGGAATTGACATAAAACAATGTTTACCTACAGGGTTGCTTTCCTTATTTTCAGCTAAGCACATCTAAAGTCCACAGATACCTACTGCAATGGATGAATCTATAACTGCTTTTCAATTAAAAGCAAGAAATAAGTACGGCTAATATATATTAATATTAACTTGAATGTATTTTTTAAAAGTCATAAAACCCTCTGAGAGATGTATAACACAGTACAAGATGTGAGAAAAAAAATGAGTTTCCTTATGCTAAAGCATAAAGATGCACTGTAAATTAAATATCAGTTCTCTATGAAATCAGTGCACTGAATCTGCTACAAATTAATAATGCTCTTGACAAAAGATGAATTGGGGTCCTGCAGTTTTTGTTTTCTAATATGTATGAGGAGCAGCAAAATTAAAGTATTGGATTTACAAAATATAGCCTCAGTAACTTTGAAATGTCATTTAGAATAGAATAGAATAACAGAGTTGGAAGGGACTTTGAGGTCTTCTAGTTCAACCCCCTGCTCAGGCAGGAAACTCTACATCACTTCAGACAAATGGTTATCCAACATCTTCTTAAAAACTTCCAGTGCTGGAGCATTAACAACTTCTGGAGGCAAGTTGTTCCACTGATTAATTGTTCTAATTGTCAGGAAATTTCTCCTTAGTTCTAAGTTGCTTCTCTCTTTGATTAGTTTCCACCTATTTAATCTTAGAACTCTCCTTGTTTTAACCCCTTGTATCAAAAGAAATGTCTTATCTCTTGTGACTTTGTGTCTAATCTATATATGTAAATTTATAGCATGTATAACATATTTAACATGGTGATTTTAATTTCTCCAGATGGCATCTTCAGTTATTCCAATTAATCATGTCCAACTGAATTCTAATAAATTTAGTAGTTTCAATCCAAAATTATGGTATTCTGTAGTAAATTAGGGGAAATTGATTTTTCCTCCCCTAAGATTATAGAAAACAGTTCTAGAATCTGCTTTCAGAGGTAAAGTAGGTTGCAAATCTGAAATTAGAGAACTGCTTTCACATTTTTTTAAAAAGTAAACAACTGCAAATCAGCATAATATCTTTCTGTATGTTATTCATACATTTATGATCCCAATGAAAAAAATAAAACTATGATTATTTATTATTATTCTCTTTTAAAAAGTCTGTTTAAAATAAAAGCCAATAGCATCCTGCTAAGGTATGGTGATTAGTGTGCTACTTTTATAAAACATGTATTATAATAAGAAAATATGTGCAAAATTATGTATGTGAGCCAACCACAATTTCTGTACTGAAATATATTTTTCTCTATTATATCTTTCTCAGGTATTGTTTATGTTGTTCATAGTTGTGTAAAAAAATATATGCTAATGGACCATCTTAGTTTCTATTCCTTATAACTTACTAAATAAAGACTCCCTTGAAGCCTCACAGTGACTATATAGAATCATAAAACTGGAAGTTAACCCTCCTCCTCAGCAGAAACAATATTTTATAAATGGTAATAGAGCATACACTGAATTAAGATCAACTATCTATCCTGAGACAAAATGTGGCAATTTTGAATGAATTTCAATTTTCTTGGCAAAAGACGAGGGTCTGGATTTCCACAAAACTCCAATCACAAACTGTGGCCAGTGACATTTAAACAATTTAAACTGTTATGGAGGAACAGTCCTAAAACGGAGCAAGGACAAAATCCAGTTTCCTGTTATTTATATAAATCAGAAGTAGGCAAAATTTTCACCACAGTGCTTTGGAATATACAAAAATAAGAAGTATAAAGCACGTTAAAAATGTTAAGGCAGTTGTTTCGTTTTGCCAAGAGAGACTAGGCAACAGAACTAAAGTTTTAAATTATTTCAAAGTATTAATATATCAGGGGAGAGAAGGCAGATTAGTATAGTACTAGCAATTTCCTGGGCTTAAAAAACCAGTTACAGCTATTAACAATAGAGGCAACAAGTCATGAAGAGATAGCATTATGGGAGAGGAGAGACAACAGCACCTTTTTCTTGTCATTTTCTTTTTCCCCTCTTGAATAAACTGAACATCGGACAGGGGAACTTCTGCATCAGGTGGCAATTTCTATTCACATCACCACCAGGATAGGCAAAATGTTGGTGATGAACATAATCAGCTGACATAGAATCATTCTTGATTTGGTAGGTGATTTTAAAATATATGTAGCTACTACTGATCAGCTGATAAACAATCAAACAAATAAGGTGAAATACCAATTTAGCTGCAGATGGCAAATACAAGTTCTATTGCTTGCAACAGCATATACTCCACACTTGAGTGTCTCCTTGCAATCTTACAGATTGCCCACCTGCTTCATGACACTGATAAATTTCTCTGCGCAATGCTAGCTTCCAACCTCTATCACAAATAACCTGCCAAATTGTCACAATAAACCTATGTCCAAATCTACAACTGTAACTATAAGTTCTGAAGTCCAATTAGCACAAGTCCATTATTTATATTTCTTGATTTATTACATGCATAGGCACTATCATCATTCCAATTTTTATTACATTATGTTCCAAACAGTCTGAAATAAATCCACAGCTAATACTAGCATATTATTAAGTCTTCAGAACAATAACGCAACAGAAACCTGACTACCTTTCTATTTCCAATGATCAGAATTACTGGAAGAGAATATGTATAGTTTGGAGTTGAATTGTGGCGTATTTGATGCTGTCTGAGTCTGGATATTTACTTGCAGACATTTCATTATCCAATTAATAACATCATGGGGTGATGAAGATGTCACCTAGTTGGTTAATGAATATCTCAGTAAACAACCATGCTTAGATAGCACCAAGAACTCCAAAGAACACAGCTAGTTCTGATGTTTGTTTCTACCATAATACAGCCCCATTCCACCAATTCAAATTTTCTCAGAGGCATATCTTTGGCACTGAGAGATAACCTTTGCAATACTCTGTTCTACACTTCCTAATCCTGAGGGTTTGCGATATTGTATTTTCTAAGGAGTATATATAACAGCCGACCTAGTTGAAAGGTTGATTTATTTTATGGAAAAGGCAGAGAAATTACTTCTTTATACTTTCAATACAAGTTTCAACAATAAAATCTACAGTATTTAGGAATACACTTTCCTTCAGAAAATCTATTGCAAGTGTTTCACCACAAAATACTTTACACTCTTTCTTAAAACAACATAATTGGAGGTACTTAGAAACAAAATATTTAAAGGAATAAGTCCCCATATCTATCATGAAATTTGGATGCTTCATCCCATTTAGGTTGCTTATAAAAATAAAACAAACTATAGCATTTGTGTTCTTTTCATATTATACTTTCAATGAATGGAGCTCTACTTTTTCAAACTTAATTCAGATCTGGGTTTTAAAGTGAGCTGGAGAATTTTTAGGTGGCATGGATTAGACATATCTCCTACTTGAATTTAGCTAGATTAAATGGTCTTGGTGTATCTAAACCCCTTCCCTTTAAATTCCTTGTATTTTGAAGGAACTAATGTTGAATATGCCATAGCAAAGTAAACACAGATACTGATAGACAACAATTTCTGAAAATTTATTGACTACAAAATAAGCATAAATAAGGTATCCCAAATATGAATGATTGCTAATGATAAACAAAATGAGAGGGCTAGCAAATTGCTAGAGCACCTTACAATGTCCTCTTTTGTTTTCGTTATTTTGCCATAATAGAGTAGATCAAATAAATATTGCAGATAAATCCACAGTAATAACCGAATGAGATATAGTTACCTAACATGATGAAGGGAATTCCCAGGAAGGTAGAATTATATTTCCCACCAGTCAGATTAATGATTCCAGCTGCAGTGAGAGTGGCCAGAGTCACAGTTAACAAGCCAAGGAGGCCAAGCCAAGGTTTGCTGCGGACACAGTCTTGCATGGAACAACAGAGCATTGCCAAGGTCACCACAAGGACTAGGCTTGTGGTTAGGTAATGTTCTGATATCCTACTTGTCTTCTGGAAGTCTTTTTGAAGGGATGATGAAGTGAAAGGATACATTGTGACATTCCGGTTGTATTTCTGGAAAAGTTCTATTGTGTCACAGAAGTTGGATTCCCATTTTTCTGCTACAATGTCATTTAAGGAATTGATAGCCTGCAAGTAATAGGTAAGCTGAATGGCTTCGGCAGACTTAACTCGATCTTTGCTGTGCACAGTGACTCCACCAAGCTGGTGCCCATTATATACTTCCCTGCCATCCTTTAAGTGTGTGATTGGATATCTGATAGCAAAATTAGTTTGATTAGACAAGCGAGCAGCCTTCAGTTCCTTCAAGATATGTACAATATCATCCACTATGCAGGACTTGTCATTATTTAGGATGCAGATATGAGCAAATGTGTAATTGAAACCAGGTCTTTGTACTTGGATTCTGGTCACAGCAGAATGCAACTACAAGGGAGAGAGAGAAAAAAAAACACACACATTATTTATCATCTGATAATTTTGCATTATAGCAAAAGAACAGCAGTGGCAATTAGAACAACATAATGTTTTTTCTTATCTACCCAAGCAAGCAGGATTTAATAAATAAAACAGTAATAAGTATTCTCTGAAATTTTTTTAAAAATGCATTAAAGTATTGTTATCATTCCCCAACACTATTTTGCACAACCTAATTAATTTCTGGCAAAAGAAACACCCTGGGTCCCAATTCGTTGCTCTGTCTTTTCATACATACAAATAGACTTCCCCCACCATTAAGAAACCAAACAAGTTTCAGTTCAGAAGTTCTCTCTCTATTAGGAGCAAGAAAGAACTTTGTTGCAATCAAATCAAAACTGCTTTCTTATCTAAAAGAAAATGAAACAAATAAATAATGTTCCTATACCATTAACTACAATTGTGTTTGAATCAAAATAGATTCGTTGTTAATGCATGGCCACATCCATGTATATTTCTTGGCAACAGCATATCAATTTGTCCAAGATGTTTTCTGACTCTCTAGTCTAATCTACAGCCCTGATACACTCTGATAGTCTCCCATCCAAGGACTTGCTAGGTGGTGACATACTATGTAGTCCCTGAATGATAGATTGACCAATATGCAACCCAAAGTGGTAGAAGTCCTTTGAAGATGGATTATTGTGTTTAAGATAATGTACCATTAGTTCTTCACTCATGATTACAATTGGGGCCATAATTTCAGTTGTAAGTTAAGGCACCCACGTGATGGCCATGATTTTATGACTGTTATGTTGTTAAGAGAATCACATTATTGTAATTCTGAATCACACAATTGTTAAGCAAATCATGCAGTCATAAATCTGAATGCCTTCTCTCTCAAATGTGCATTTATTGCTGGAAACCAGCAAAAAAGTAGCAAATAGCAGTCCTGTGACTGTGGAGCATTGCAACCATTTGTAAATGTGAAGTAGATGCCAAGTGTTTGAAATGCAGTCATGTGGCTGTGGGAGAGGGCAGCATGACATTTTACAATGGCCAGAAGTGCTTTACAGTCCATAAAGCATCCTTTTTGAGGTCATGATAATTCCAAATAGTCGTTAAACGACCTATAAAAAATTTCACAGAGCTGTTGGGCTTCCAAGGCAGACATGAACTAAGTTAAAGCTTTTGAAGTCTTGAGCAGTATAATTGGCTAGGAATTACTCTTTATTATAGTTTAGAAATGATAGCTCCTGCAAACAGCTCCTGCAAATATTGAGGTGAGGAATTAAGATTTTTTTTAAATGTCCCAACTGGAGTTTTTGTTCTCCTTTCTCAAGCTAAGTGAATAGCTAGTACATGTTTATATGGTCTATATTCTTACTCCAAATCACTACTGATTTCCCTTTAATGAATTTGGACAGACATATAGAGTAGCCTAGAGCTTTGAATTTTCTTCTGGTCTCCCAACTCAGTACTAATCAGATATAGTGGTTATATTACTATGTGAGTTAAATGTGAATTAAAAAAACTGGAAGCATTTTGAAAATGAATCATTGTATCTGGTGTATATATATTTACCACATTTTATAGACTTTTTATTATTATTTTATTTCTGGATTATTTAGATAATAAACAGAAGATATTGTTGAAATAGATAATCCAGACTTATTTCTGCAGCAGCAATGAATTCTATTTTGTTTTACATCATAGCTCTGGAAAGCTAATATACAAAAATCAAAATAGTAAATATTTACTTCCGGGAAGATGACTAACTGAACACACCAGGGGTGGGTTCCTGTACAGGTTGGTACTGGTTTGTTGCACACGTGCTTTGCTCCAATACAGCTGTAAGCCAGCAAATGCCTTCTGGAGTTGAACTCCAAAACTATCTGCATGCTAAAAGTTGGAAGGGAAGGGGCTGCAATCTGTTTGGGGTTGAAGAATTCGCTATTTTGAAATTCACCTTTCAAATGTTTATGCTGACTTTTAATCTTTTTAAAGTCAACTTAAAAAGAGACACTTCCTAGCTACAGCCTTTTTGAAGACTTGTGCCATTTTAGGGATTTCTTTTTGTCTCAAAGAACAAGGAACAAGGCTGCCAAGGCAAGCAAAATAAGGAAGTGTGGTGAGAAAAAAAAAGCTGATGGGGAAAGATAAAGATTGAAAGCTATGATTTTAGTTTACTATTACAGTAACTGGTAGCTTGATCTTCTTAGCTGTTGGTGGCTAAAATCTTCTGATTCTGATTAAAAGAGGAAGCCAAGATAGTGGAACAAAATATTAGAGATATATTTGAAAATACACTAATTGTTGACCAGCTGTTCTCTGATGATAAAAATCCTCTCAAATTACTTCTGCAATGCAAACATGTGGAGAATGTTACCAAACTGCTGGGGCAACTTCATACCATATTTTTCAGAGTATAAGAGCCACCAGAGTATAAGACGCACCAAGGTTTTGAAAAGGCAAATTAGAAAAAAGTGGTAGACAGAGGGAGAGAGAGAGAGAAATACAATAGGTAGGTAGGTAGGTAGAGAGAGAGTAGTTAGGTAGATAAAGATAGAGAAATAGAGAGAAATAGAGAGAGAGAGAGATAAATACAGTAGCTAGGTAGGGGATAGAGAGTGTAGGTAGGTAGGTAGGTAGAGGAAGAGAGAGAGAGAGAGAGAGAGAGAGAGAGAGAGAGAGAGAGAGAGAGAGAAGGTAGGGGATAGAGAGTGTAGGTAGGTAGGTAGAGGAATAGAGAGAGAGAGAGAGATAAATACAGTAGCTAGGTAGGGGATAGAGAGTGTAAGTAGGTAGGTAGAGGAATAGAGAGAGAGAGAGAGATAAATACAGTAGCTAGGTAGGGGATAGAGAGTGTAAGTAGGTAGGTAGAGGAATAGAGAGAGAGAGAGAGAGATAAATACAGTAGCTAGGTAGGGAATAGAGAGGGTAGGTAGGTAGGTAGAGGAATAGAGAGAGAGAAAGAGATAGAGAGAGAGAGAAGTACAGTAGATAGGTAGGGAGAGAGAGAGTAAATAGGTTGGTAGGTAGAGGGATAGAGAGAGAGAAAGAGAGAGAGAGAAATACAGTAGCTAGGTAGGGGATAGAGAGTGTAGGTAGGTAGGTAGAGGAATAGAGAGAGAGAGAGAGATAAATACAGTAGCTAGGTAGGGGATAGAGAGTGTAAGTAGGTAGGTAGAGGAATAGAGAGAGAGAGAGAGAGATAAATACAGTAGCTAGGTAGGGGATAGAGAGTGTAAGTAGGTAGGTAGAGGAATAGAGAGAGAGA